AGTACACTCAGGTATACGCAGCCGCCCTGTCTGGCCAGCCGTACGCACTCCAGTATACGATCCCTGAAGATATTTCTGGCCAGAGTGTTGCCCCGGAGACGCGGGAACCGATTGACAATCTTGTTGGCGAGTTCTGGCTTCAGAAAGGACTCGACGTACTCGGCGTCCCACGTGTCGGCCAAGTCTCGGCACCGTTGCTGTGTCTCCAGATAGGCGAAGGCCAGCAGGTCTGCCAATCCGCCCGACCCGCGCAGCACAACCACCGGCTGTTGGCGTTTCAAGTGGTCCAACACGAGTCGGGCGCAGTCGTAGCCGCCCTGTATTACGATAGACACGATCGGTATCTCTGTGTTGGTCAGTGAGCACAGGTCGGCGATTGTGGGCACGTAGTCATCGGGTGATGTACGACCTGTAAGTGTAAGTGTGTTTTGGGATCAGATATTAAAGACAATGAATGTAATAATAAATTGTGCGCTGATTAATGACCTGATTGGTCGAGCAGATCGATGGAGAACTCGCCGCGACCGCCAATTGTGGACAAGTACTGTACGATACGCAACGCAAACATATTGATCCCAGTCTTGGACACCGTGTTATCCCTCACCACCAAATAGTGCGAGTGATTGTCGTTGAGTTCGTACTTCTGTTCGTCCAATAGGTTGCCCTCGTTCTGGAGATTAACCGTTTCCTATCCAACACAACAGAACAGATCTTAAGAGCACATCCAGAAGAATAGTACCATAGAAAGCCCATAGAAACAACACTTACCCCATCGATGTTTTCGCCGTATCGGAGGTGATCTTCGCGCATAATGCCGACCACATTGACGCGCGGCGTGTGTCCGGTGGTGTTGGCCGCTGACGACGAGGACCGGTAGGCTTTGGACTCTTTGACGGCCTGCTCGACGGCGTCGCCAATGAGACGGGCGGCGCCCATATTGACACCATTGGTGAAGATCCACATATTGGTCGAGTTGGCCGCCTGTAATCGGGAAGTATGTGTTTCATTAGTATTGGTGGCAAATAATTAAGATAATCAATACCTTCATGAGTCCCTTCTTGAAGGCGGCGATCTGTCGGGCGTTCGTCCAGTCCTGAAGGGGCGCCACATTGGATATGATAAGGGCTACGATACGAGGCGACTCCATCCGCCACTGCCTGTGCATTATGTACGCGATGTCCTCAATGTGCACGTCGTGCGACACTTTCAGATACGGGTGACCCTAACGGATGTGTGGAGCACAGTGTGAATCAGTTTCCAGTGACAATCGTTAAACACTTATATTCCATTGACACTGACAATGAGATCACACATACCTCTACACTGTAGGCGTAGTTCTTCCAGAAGTGACACTTTCCGTGCGATATAATGAACCGATTGTTGGCGAAGACATCGGTGGCCATCACACCACTCGCCTGACTCACCTGCCGGTCAAC